TAAGTTTTAACTTTTCAGTAGTAGGTTCAAGTGCTATGTATTTACTACTTGATTTTTATAAAGTCTTACCTTGCTTACATAAATGAGTTAAGTTTAAACAAGGTCCAGCTTCCTGCCTAAGCAAAAGTATCTTAATTAGGCAAAGAATATTTCTTTAAGCTGCTCTAAGACATTTCTTTTAAAGATATTTAAGCTGCTCTAATATTTCTTAAAACTGCTCTAAGATAACTATGTGTTCCTATACCTTGCAAGGCTATAACTAGATTTGCTTCAAAATACTGTAGCTGAAGAACTGGTAGAGGACTCAAGGGAATAGCTAAATGTGAAGCAGCTTCTCATTAAATGAGGTTTATCGGATTCCTGCTATGAGATCAATTTCCAGTGACTCCTTTAAAAACTCTCTTCAACAGTTCCTTCAAGAAGGAAGAGAGCAAACGTCAACCATGGATATAGCAAAAGAAAAGAAGAAAAAAAAAAGGATGAGAATGATCATACTCAACAAGCTGAGATTACAAATTTTTATCACAGAAATCTGAATAAATGTCAGACAAAATTAGGAGTTTCTAATACAACTAGAAGCACTTAAAATTTTTTACCATTGGAATAATTGTATTTATTAATATTCTTATAAGTTAGGAAGTTAAAAATGGAAACACTCTTCTGAGTATCATTTCCACAATAAGCAAACGGATATAGAGGGAATACCACAAGCTAAAAGGTTATAAAAAGTCAGAGATACTCAATGGAACAGCATACAAAATGGTGGTTAGAAAGCAAATATCCCTCTAGAACCCAGTGGAAACTATGCCATCCAGTGGCTAAAAGGGGTAGCAAATCCATTTAAGAGTCTAATTTGGACGAAAGAAAAGCAGTTTATCACACTGTCCTTAAAACTATAATATACTGTCCAAGCCAGAACAGTTCTGAGAGTAAAAGGGGATGCTATTACTAATTACACTGGGACAGAATTGCTGCTGGCACGCCAACCCATATATCCACCCAACTTAAAAATTAAGCCAAATTTCTCAGTCCAAGAGTTTCTCCCTTCTCTGAGATTTTTATCTGACAGTGTAGATTCCCTTTCCACATTTATGTCTTATATTCCCTAACCCAGCTGTACATAAACTAGGGGCAGAGAGGATAAGGAATGAGTTAAGGCCAAAAGAACAACACAGATGGGGGGGGGGATCTAACTCTAAAAAGCTCTAAATGCATGGTAAAAAAAAAAAAGGAGGAACAGCAATTCTAAGTACACTTTTAAAAAGATTAAAATGAACACCAACAGGTTTTAGTTGACGGGTTTTTCACACATGGAACAAACTCATATTCTTTGATGGTTTCCTGTTCTTAGATAAAATCTGCTAGAGACAACAGAGCGTCAGAACTACAAAACCTCAAGTGAACTATATCTCACAGTCCAATTAATGTAACAGACAAAAATCAGAAATGATTAAAGGAATATTTCAGGAAAATTAATCTGGCAACACTGCATAAAATCAATGGGACTGAGAAGCAAGATTACTGTAATAGTACAGGAGGGAGATAATGAAAAAGTTGGCTAGTTTATAGTCATGGTCAAGGAGAGAAGGGATATTTTGAAAAGAAAAACAAAGATATGAAATAACTCAGGGTATGTCCAAGGAACCAAACATTATTCTTAAATTCTAAATCTAGGAAAAGTGATACAATAATAATGCCACTGGCCTGAGAAAGCTGAAAGGTCTCAATTTTGTAGTTTGTTTGCTTTTAATATTTTAGAAAAGGCGAGTGGCAGCTGCAGGTATGATGCTGACCTGTGCTGTCAAAGTCTCTCCAAGTTGCTCTTGCAGTTGGAGATCCCATGGCCACAACATGTACTATTTTTTAAGAGATTAGTTTGAATGGGAACAATACACCTACAGAAAGATAAGTCTACTAATAGACTCTGCAAATACTAAAAAGCAAGATTTAACTTGGTGGACTTTTAACTACAATGACAATCTGCTCTTAATGTTCTAAACCCCTACTATCATTATTTGTAAATTAATGTTTTCTCAATACTCACCACAAATCCACAAAAAGAAAAAAGCAAAATAGACTTTTAAAAAAACTGAAAAAAGCAAAATAGACTTTTAGAAAAATTTTGACGTTATTAAGAATAAGGGAATCAAATTGATGTTGATAAAGATATTAATGATAAGCTTCCAAAGAGAATCAATTTCAAGAAATGTTCAAAAGCTGATTTTAACTGAATGTTAACATAGATCCGCCACTGTAGTTATGTCAAAGGAACAGAGTGCCCTCTACTGGAAGTTAAAAAATATGAAACCACTTAGGTTATAGAAAAAGAAAACATTTAATTTTTTTTTTAAGCTGAGCATTAAGTAATTACCTGCACTAGACAAAGAGCAGGGTTTTATTGCTGTTGTTTTTAATTCCTAAGAGAAAAACATGGGAAACTAATAAATGTTTAAAGGACTTAAAAATAAGACCAAGTCTCTCTCTAATGCACATGAACACAGACATAAAACCTTGAATTTTCACATGTAAACAACACATTGCAAACAGCTCTCTTCTACTATAAGGAAAGGTTATCATGAGTTATGAAGTACACTGTGGGTGTACTTCAAATCAAATGTATGTCCTACACTGATATGAAGAGACTGGCAAACAAAGCTAAAGAACATCTAATAAAGTGAGCTACTCCTGTTTAACTTGGTGTGGGACAGGGAATCTGTACAAGAAGCCAAAAGGAAGCTAATCTTTAAACTTTTCAGCTACAGTCTGTATTTCAATTTCTGCCTAAAACCGTATCAGATCCTGTCCCTGAGCCGCAACCTGTAATAAATACTGTTGAATATTGAAGTACTATGCCAGATACAAACATGAGGTTTTTAAGGATACTCTGAATACTCGCAGTATGAAATACTACTAGTTATAAAACCTTTCAGAGTTAAAATGGTACAGTCACTGTGACAGTATGGCAGTTCCTCGAAAAATTAAACACAGATTTACCACATGATCTAGCAATTCCACTTCTGGGTGTACAGCTGAAAGAATTAAAAGGACTCAAACAGGTATTTGTACACCAATGTTCACAGTAGCCATTATTCACGATGGCCAAAAGGTGGAAATGACCAAGTGTCCATCAACAGATGAATAAACTAAATGTGGTATATACATAGAATCGAATATTGACTATTCAGCCTTAAAAAAGAAAATTCTGGTCCATGCTACAATATGAATGAACCTTGAAGAGTTATGCTGAGTGAAATAAGCAAGACACAAAAGGCCAAATATTGTATGAATCCATTTATATGTTACGTAGAATAATGAAAATCATGAAAATAAAATAGTGGTAACCAGCGCCTGGGGGAGGGGGATACAATCAGTACAGTTTCAGTTTCGGATGATGAAAAGCTCTGGAAATGAACAGTGGTGCTAGTTGCACAATGTGAATGTACTTAACGCCACGGAACATTTTTTTTTTGACAGAGCAAAAACTGCTTTTATTTCTCAAAAGAGGAAAATGAAGGAAAGTGCTTGAACTGGGAGAAGGAAAGAAAAGCACTCAAGCAAGGAAAAGGCACTCAAATAGGGAGCCATCAGCCAAGATGGCCCTGTGTTATGTATATTTTGCCACACACACACACACAAACACGCAAAGGTATTTCAAGAGATTCCTTGTCTGAGTCCACAAACTTATTTATTTCATCAGCTACATTAAATCTGAGCTCCTTTCCAGAAAGGAAGGTTCTATGTTGCAATTTTCCAACACCACAGGTTTTAAGCATAACACTCTCACCTGCCACTGAACCCTTACTACATGCTTTCTGGTAATTTTAACCCCTATTCCAATCTACCTATACAAATCATTAAACAAATAACCTGAAACAGTCTTACTCTAGTGAACTAACTCTCTAGCAATAATATCAACAGTTTTAATTGTTGTAATAAGAGGAAATGAAGGCAGGAGCAGTATGTAACTTTAAAAGTCTTCGGTAGTTCATGAATTGCCAGTAAAAGGGCAGGGGGTAATGGGAAAAGATTATACACTTAAAATACAGCTCACTTGAGCATGCTACCTCATGTGCAGTATCCCGATAAGCATGGTAGCCAAACTTGAACTGAGTCTTCCCATAATACAGCAACGACTTAACCGAGAAAGCAAATCAGCAGGCAGACTGGGTAGAAAATATACAAGCTGGACCAAAAGCTGCTGAGACTCTGCTGGGAGAACCACCACAGTGCCTTCTTGTGGATCTAGTGGGATAGGAAGACACAGTAAATCCAACTATAAAAGATATACAAACCAGAGTTAAAATACTAAAGCAGATTAAGTAATTATTTTCACTGTTTTGTTGAATTCCAATGTATCAATTACAAGGGAAAAATTTTTATCATAAAGCATATATGTATGGCTTAAAGTATTATCTAAAGTAAAACACTGAATATAATCATTTTAAGATACACTTAACACTAATAATTTCGTACAACCAAATGTGTTATCTTAAGTAAGAACGATGATCGGGCTAAAGGGATAAGACAAAGCAAAACAGTGAAAAATAAGCACTTGTGCTAAACAGTGACAATTATAACATCAAAACCCAAAGACCTATTTGTGTAAATACATACACCTCTACTTATAAGCAATACTGAAAAACACAGATTTAAAAATATTACGCACAAGAGGTAAAAACAAACTAAACGTCCATCACCTAATGGACAAATGTAAGAGGTATACCCACACAATGGAATACTACTAGTCAGCACTAAAAAGAAATGAAGTACTGATATATGCTACAACATGGACGAATCCTAAAAACAGTATGCTAAGTGAAAGAAGCCAGACTCCAAAGACCCGTATTATTTAATCCCATCTATAACTAATGTCCAGAACAGGCAAATATATAGAGACAGAAACACAGATTAGTGGTTGCCAGGAGCTGGGGAAGGAGGACACGGGGAAGAACTACTAACGGTACAGTGTCTTTCTGATGGGATAAAAATTTTCTGGAATTAGATAGTGGTGACAAATGCACAATCTTGGAAATACATTAAAATACAATGAATTGTACATTGTAAAATACCAAATTTTATGATACATGAATCATATCCCAATAATGTGGATTTGTATATATGTATATATACCAGTATGCTTGTATTGATATTTTTGCTTAAAAAATGAAATAGTTCCAGAGATGAATAAAGAATTATTAACACAGAGAAGTCATACAAGATATCCATGATGATTAAATACATAAAATTTGCCACCAAAGCTTCAAAAGAATTTTGTAAAAATACCTGATCAGTTCTGAATTTATGAATAATGTGGTTTAAGACAATTTAAGAACGCAAGAAGCATCTACAACCATTAACCTTCTAAAACTATCCTAATAAATAATACTTACTATTGAAAACAAATTTACTGTTTGACGTTTTGTTAATTTTACCATGCTATAATTAATTTACAATAATTTAAAGGAAAAGCAAGCCTAAAGAGCCCCCCTTTAAAACTTCTTTCCTAAATCAGGGTAGACTAATTATTACTCACATGGTTAAACAGAACTCTTACCATAGATTCGGAGAGCAGTAACTTGTAAACTTTTTAGCAATTCTTTATTTGCTCGTGCTGCAGCAGTATGGATGATATCAATAAGCTGTGTTGAGAGCTCAGGGTTTCGGGAGCCAAGATGAGCAAGCTGCAATGGTAAACCAGCCAACCATCGGGATAACACTTTACTACGACACCTAAGAAAGGCCAAGGAAGAACAAAATAAAGTATAAATTTCAAAGACAAGGGAAATAAATGTAAACAAAGACTATTTTTAACTTCAACACATCACGAAGTGACAGATCCTCTACTAATAACACCATATTTCTTCATTTAAATATGAGAGGCTATAAGATGGCAGCATCATTTATTCAGCCATAGTATTTTCTAAGGTTTTACCCACTAAATTTTGTTCATGTAATCTGGGGTACTATCTAAATTGTACTTTTTATCTTAAAAGACACAGACACGACTTAACTCTTTGTGAACTATTCATCCTAATCAGTGTTAATTATTATATTAAGTCACTGATGCATTCAGTGTAGGGTGCTCCCACATTAAATGGCTTCAAACCTGTCATTTTAGTTCTTTCCTATACTTGCTAATGCTCTAATGTCTCCTTACTCACTTAGCCACTTTTGCTGTCCCCGAAGACTTTAGTGATTTAAGCATGACCTCTGTAGTCAGACAGACCTGAACTTAAGTCTCAGTTCTGCTGCCCTTTAGCTGCATGACACTCACCAACTTATTTAACCTAAGCCTGTTTCCTCTGTAAGGGAAAACAGTACCTACCTCAAAGTATGAGAATTATTGAGAAACTATGAAAAGCATCTGATTTACTGTAAAGACTTGAATATGTTCCAGTTACCTACATATGCTGAGGTATCCCAAGTCTCTGTCTTCCACCCAAACATCTCTTCCTGACTATCCCAAATAAACCTGAAACTCACCATATCAAAAAACTGACTCCTCAGTTCTACTTCTTTATTGTCTATCTCACCTGATAGCACCAAAGTAAGAGAAACCTTCCTATCGCCTATTGCCCTCATTTAAAAAAAATATTAAAATATAGTTGACATACAGTGTTATGTTAGTTTCAGGTATATCCTAATGATTTGATATTTGCATATATTATGAAATGATCATCATGCTGTAAGTCTAGTAACCATCTGTCCACATACAAAGTTATTACAATATTATTGACCATATTCCTTATGTTATATATAATACTCAATGGCTTATTTGTAACTGGAGGTTTGTACCTCTTAACCCCCTTCTCCTATTTCATACCATCTCTTTCTATTGTCCTCATACTTACACTGTA